GTGGTGATGAATGTTAATATTTGTCTATTAATCTTTTGTTATGGGTGATTGAAATGGTTCTGCAAGTCCAGTGATGGATGAATGATTGTGTATAGATGATGCGGTTCAGGGATAACTTTATATCTTCCTAGTAACTGACCACTCCTCTAATTACATTCAAAGCAATAATATCACTATTTTCTTACCAGAAATACTATTGACTGAAATATATCTTATAACTGATATGTAGTATTCTACATTAAACCTGGTATGTATATATCTACTTTAATTTGAATTGTGAAATGTTTAAAATGTTTTTACATGTATTGTAATTGTTGTAATTGTAAAAAATGTAATTTATGAATTGTCTTTTGTAAAATACTTATCTTTGTTTTTGTCTTGTAATCATTTTGTTTGTTATAGATTCTTCTAGTACCTGAATAAGTGGAAAAACCTCATTTAGTATCTATTGTCAACAAATCTCCACCACTACATTAAATCTGTCGGCGAAACCGAAATAAATTCTGGATCTATTCTATCCAGCTTGTTTGTGCCCTGGAACTACCAATCTTTCCTTTCAACTTCCATATGTAGTAAGGCAAGGATGTAGCGAAAATTGTATATATGTAGAAGTGTCAGTCTGTCCTAATGTCCGTGTTTGTGACCATTCCACTCAATGACTCCGACACCTAATGAATTTGAGTCATATATAAAACTTACTGAAGCAATGTCTTATCGTATTTTGAAGCTAAATAGTTTTTACAATAAAGTCATTTTAATTTTTCATGTATCCCTAAATAAGTAAATATCAAACAAGTAGAAGCGGTGTCATAGTGTTGTTCAAATTAAAGTCGCCTTTATAGTGTAAAACAAATCGGTTTCGATATATCGGTCATTTTCACTGATCTATTGCGCATTTGAATGTTATCAGTTGTAGGACCTTCATGCATCGATGAGGCAACATTGTTACAAAATTGTAAATAATTGAGGGGCAGAGAAGGATTTAATGCGAAAAATATTTAAGTGTCCGGTGCCTTAAAAAAGACAATACTGTTTCAAATATTCTACTTGACATACTTTTGCCCTTACGTTTCGCAACCCCAAAAGAACGCGATTGATATCCCGTTTCAAAAGCTTTGAATTTATAAAAGTTGTTACTCTGAATGTATTCCGTCTACCTTTATCATATAAATGTAAATTGTTATCATATTTTAAACATATAATTAATTAATATTGAAAAATGAATTATGTAAGATACAATGCAAAAACGTAAAACACGCCATAAACCAACTGTATTCAACATAACTGTACCTGAAGATATGCGAAACTATTGCCCCTGTTACAGCTTTCTCTACTAAGATCAAACTTTTGTATATTTCTACAAATGAGACAACTGTCGTGACCAGTGAATTATAGTAACTTGTTTATACTGCCCCTTTATCTTTATCTAGACCAAATTGTATTGTCAGCATTTTTTGTTGGTTGGTTGTGGTTTACGTCGCACCAACACAATATAGTTCATATGGCGACTTTCCAGAAAGATATTGGGTGCACCTCCGTCCATTACTTAAGGCGCAAACGGACACGCGAGTAGAATATTGCAGCAAAATATATGCCGGGTGCAAATTCCAATTGGCAATAATGGATATAACGAGTGGAGAAGACAAGTGTAACGTCGAATCTAGTTAAAGAGTCTTATTTTTATTTATAACTTGAACATAATATATAAAATACACGTTTCTACAGCTCTTGTTTATATCTATAACTATGATGAGAACGTTGAGTCAATTACTTATTACAAATGCACGTAGAAGTAACACCATTACTTATTATGAAAACAATATAAAAGATATTTACTAGTATACATGTGATTTAAATCAATACAATATTTATCATTAAAAGTGCATGTTCTTATCAGATATTTTCTCTATGGGTATGATTATCATATAGTTCGTCCGACCATATATGCTGGTAAAATTGTTGTTGTTGTTGATGTTGTTATTTTCCTTCTTTTTTATTGTTTTTGTTGTTGTTATTGTTGTTGTTTGCATACTATGCGAAGTGTAGATACGTAGGTATTTAATCGGTTTGATATTGTACACTATAAAAGTAATACATGTCCATCAATTAGCATCGATAAATCAAAAACTCACCATGTGCCGTCACATTATGCAATATAGTGAAATGTTTAAGATAAGCTAAGATTAGATAAGCTGCAAGGTCTGTGCAGTTTATATGTACCTACAGAAACGTTTGTGTGTTAAAATTACAATAGCTTTCGTAAAACAATGGTAGGGGGAAATGTTTCATAATTATTCACATTTATGATCATATGTAATACTTGTCTTTTCCTTAAATTTTTAAAAAGACGACAGTGCTATAGATTTGATAATGTCATAATGAAATTATCAATCTTATTTTGCTATGGACGTTACCTAACGGGAAAACAACATAAGGTTATAAACGACTGAACATTTCATCAAAAATCGCTTCTGAAGTCCTGAAATATAGCAATATTTGTGTTTTTTAGTTGATAAAATGAAACAAAGATTTACAATTCTTAAGATCTATTTTTAACAAATACACTATGAATATACTTTATATCATTTCCTGTTAGGTTTTACGTCGCGCGAACACAGTAGAGGTCATATGGCGACTTTCCAGCTTTACTGGTGGAGAAAGACCTCGAGTGTCCCATACGTCCATTATTTCCGGCACGACCTGGGTTGTAACACCAACGTTTTATAATGGAGCTGGATAGCTTACCCATAAAAAAGACCCTGGCGAGATTTGAACCCACATAGGTGTGAGGAAAGTTTTTTAAATTGTTTGAAGTGAACAACCTTAACCACTCTGCCATGAACAGCTCATATCATCTTTATCACTTTTGAAGCAGAGATGTTAGATTTTAACTTGTCGTTATCATGCCTTTCATGAAAACGTAATATTTGGTGATATCTTTTTTAACAATATTCTGCTTTCTCTTTGGCGATTTAGCGCTTATTCACTTATTCACGCTGGAACAGCTGTCTGCCCATTTGATTGTACGGTGTGTTATTTGTTGATAAAAAGTTTTCGTATTCTTAATCAATACACATAGAATAATTCACTTATCACTTATCTCAACATAATTTTTTTCAAGTGTATATTTACCTTAAAACAAATACACCGTTGCTAAAAGACTGAATCAATTAGGACATTTAAGGTTAACTTTTCAAAAAATCAGCATTTTTAGATACATATATTGAATCATCAAGTTAAAGCAACACTATTATAAACATATTTATATCCTTGTACACTGATAATGATATCAATAGATTTTTTTCTAACGCAACTTTTCGGTCCGTCAATCCTTGATATTAATGCTGAGGCTTTTCTGTTGAGTTTTAAGTAGTTTTTCAGATAGTTTGAAAAAAAAAATTCTCTTTTAAAACTAGAATTTATACTTTTATTATTTATTGTTCATCAACATTTACGATCTCTTCAATGGAAGTTATTAAAAATATTAAAAATAAGCGTTAACGATGAAATAGAAAATAGCAGTAAAAACATAATTGATATGTCTGAAGCATTTACAGAGAGTGGACAATGTGAGGATTAGCTTACGTTAGTGTTTGATAACAGCAACAAACTTTATGTTTCAAAAAACTTTCTACGATACGCCTCGCCTGTTTTCAAGGCAATGTTTGATCATGACTACAAGGAGACGAAAGAAAACTGCGTATCATTGCCAGGGAAAAATTACGACGACTTCCTCGAATTTTTGCTTTGTATTCACCCGAGGATTTTAAAACCGATTACAGATCGGTTCAAACATATCACATGTAAAATGTAAGGAAGATCAGAATTTGATAAATTATGAAATATTATGACTATCTTATACTATTGCAAAAAGTTAGTTGACTATTTTTGGGGAAAAAGATCAGGACAATTTAATGAAGAACAATTCTGAATGCTAGCGAGAGCTGGTCATTTTCATTTTGAAAGATAGTTGAAAGTGTAGGTATAACAATGAAAGAATATGACACTCATTCATATCATTTGTGAACGGAATATCACAGAACCAGTTACCTAACATCTCATACATCTTATGCGTCTGCTTTCATTATATTATCTGGGATTTTTGTTGTTGTTTCTAGAAACAAATGTCCTACAGGTCTTGACCATTGCTGACAAATATCATGTGACGTCAATCACAAAAAATGCAAAGAATTAGATTGCTTCTTTTTAATGATGAAGGCATTCTTAAATAATTAATGTAAATGAACACAGTTATTTTGACACTGCCTAAGATAACTTGACAGTCGTGCGTCATACAATATAAATGAATAAATTAAAAAATCATTAATTAATTAATTAATTATTTTAATTATTCAAAATTAATTAATTAATTAATTAATATTATTAAGGCTAATAGATTCATATTATAACTGATATAGCTTGAAGTGATTATCTACATTAAACGTTGTATGTATATATTTGGTGAAATGTTTATAATGTTTTTACACGTATTTGAAAAAAATGTTTAATTGTGAAATATGTAATAAATGAATTATCTTTTGTAAAATATTTCTCTTTGTTAATTGTCTTATAATCATTTAATTTGTTATAGATTCTTCTAGTACATGACCTCATTTAGCGTCTATTGTCAACAAACCCCACCACTACATTAACTTTGTCGGCAAAACCGAAATAATCTGTTTCCAATCGTTCTTGAACTACTCTATCCAGCTTGTTTGTCTCTTAAGGGCAGAATCAATGAGGAAGTTTCAACTTACAAGCTCTCCAAATCTTTTTTTAAAAAAACTCCTTTTTGGATAAAAAAACAACATACCGCTATACTTTATCACATGACGTATGTACATGCAGCATTTTTGTTAAGATACATGTATAAAGTCAGAAATGTTACATATATTATTAGCTATTATCATGTTTACAACCTTGTCAAGTGGTACGAGTACACTGATAATGATATAAATAGATTTTTTCAAACCTTTCCGTCAATCCTTGATAATATGCTGAGTTATTCCGGTTGAGATTTTTAAACCAAAAGTAGTTTTTCAGATAATTTGAAAAACTTTCCAATTTCTGTTTTAAAACTGAATTTGTACTTTTATCATCTATTGTTCATCAACATTAAATTTCTATTAAACTTAAATTGAAACGGAAGAAATTAAAACAATTAAAAATGAGCAGTAACGAGGAATTAGATAATAACAGTACAAACATAATCGATATGCCCGAAGCATTTACAGAGAGTGGAGAATGTGATGATGAGATTACGCTAGTGTTTGACAACAGCAACAAACTTTATGCTTCGAAAAACTTTCTACGATACGCCTCGCCTGTTTTCAAGGCAATGTTTGATCATGACTGCAAGGAGAAGAAAGAAAACAGCGTATCATTGCCAGGGAAAAATTACGACGATTTCCTCGAAGTTTTGCTTTGTATTCACCCGAGGATTTCCAAACCGATTACAGGTTAGTTCAAACATGTTACATTTAAAATATAGGGACGATCAGAATTTGATAATTAATATATATATATATATATATTCTTTATTTGAGTCTCATCCATACATAAGTCTCATCCATACATAACAACATAAAGCAATTCAATGACATAATTTTACAAAGTAAAAGTTATTTAAGTATGGCCATTTTTATCAGAATTACAAGAGACTATAAAAAGTAATATAATAGAAGGGAGGCAACTCTGCAAGATACAGAGTTACCTCTCTTCTCATTCCATATTCATATGCATATTACAACTTAAAATTGCTAAAATAAGAAACTATTGCTAATCTTGTTTTAAAATACTTAAAGAGTTTCTGGTATAATTGCTTTACAGTAAAAACCCTTGAAATGTTCTCTTCATTAAACCCGTAAAATTACACTGAATAGCAATAGTTTCTTACACTATAAAATCATAATGTGAATAAAATTATTTCGCATCATTGGAAAGGTAAAACCTATATGAATAAAAATAAAACATTTTTCAAATTTAAGTGACAGTTCATATGTCTTTGCCTAAAAATAAAATAAAAAACGATCAGTTACTAATCATTTACTATGAGTATGTTTACCCTTTCAAGAGACCTCGAGAGTATTGTACAAATATCCTTGTCTAATGATTAAGATTATTAAAATATTACTAACCTTAAAATCAGGCTTATAAATACACTGATAAGTACATTTTTTTCAAAAATATAATGTAAGACCCTCAGTTTGTTGGATAAAATGTTTAACAATTAACATTTACATTATGAGAGACATTTCTCAGGAATACAACCAGTTAGTTCTACTTTTAAGAATATTGAAACAGGATTTTGCAGCACACTTTACAATTTCAGTATTGGAAAAAATGAATTTATGAAACATAATGACTATCTAGTACTATAGCAAAAAAGTTAGTTAACTATTTTCCGGGAAAACAAAGAACTATTCAATGAATAAATATATCCTAAGAGCAATTCTAAATGCGAGCGAGAGCTAGTCATCTTTATTTTGAAAGATAGTTGAAAGTTTGGGTTATAAAAATGGAAGAATGTAACAATCATTTATATAATTTGTCAACGGAATATCACAGAACCATTTACTTAATATTTCATACACATTATGCGTCTGTTTTCATTATATTATCTGTTGTTTGTTTTTTGCTGTTTCTAGAAACAAATGTTCTACGTGTCGTGAACATTGCTGACGAATATCAAGTGACGTCAGTCATAACAAAATGCAAAGGATTAATGATGGGATGGTTACAGGCGTCATTTGATCAGGCGAGAGCAAAGAGTTATCCTTATTATCTCTACCAAGCAGTATATCTTAGACCCTGTCTTCGTATAGTAGCAAAAGCACATGAGTTAACCTATAATGATGTAGTGAAATTTGCAGTTAAAACTATAGCGAAGTTTGGACACATTCTTTATAATGAGGGACAAAAAGAATCACCAAGTCAGTACGTTATGGATGAACATACTCCTTTAGATAAAACAGGAGATGAAACTTTTTGTGATCTAAAAATCGACTGTATGAAGATGTTTCAAAACCTTCCATACGAAATTAAATACAAAATAGTAGCTGAACGATTACTTCATTTAGGTGATGAAACTGGCATAAAAAACTAAATGTGAATGACAAAAAACACCGATATTTGATACTGACTAGAATAATGTCCAGAGCTGACATTGATGACGAATAAATAATTCAAGAATAAACTAATAAATGTGCATGAATTGTGGCTCATCATTTTGAACAGTAAAGTACATGTTTTTTTCTTATGTTTGCATTATGTTACCATAATATGAAAAAGTGAAGATTCTTTTGAAACAAGACTTCTTTTATTATAATGTGTATTTTGCAATGTTTTATTAAAGCTTACAAAAGAAAGGCGGTAGGCTATTGTTTTTAGAATAAATTGAAAGCCATTGTTAGAATAGACGTCTGTACTTTTGCTGTAGGAATCGAACAGATGTGATTCAACCATATAAACAATATCGTCAGAATAATTTTAGACATTTATTTCAATTGTCACTCACTTGGATATAGAAGTAGTTCAATATAAATTTTCATTTTACCCATTTATAATTACTTTTTATTTTTGAGTTGTATCATCACTTAAACAATAGAAAACGTTTAGCTAACTAATCATTGACATTAATAAGTTCAGTACAACCGACGGAACATATAACATGGTTATCCGACAAATTTTAGTTTAAAATACAACTATTGGAATTTCAAAAATGCTAGAAATTACCATTCAGCCCGAATGGTATTTGATTTGTGTATTGATTAAGATTTCTTTTTCTTTTTTCTTGACTCTTTCCTGAACAATACAATAGAGCTAATGTTTTTTTTTTTCGTAAGCGAAATATTCCGAACACTGCTTAGACCACAAAAGCCTACGCACTATTTCCGAGCTTTGTACTTGAAGAATGTATTTTAATCTATATATCCTTAATATATGTAACCCGTTTTGTTATCTGGTATTTAATTTTCCATTCTGAATGGCTAAGATGATTGATTTTGCACGAAAGTTGTTTTTTTACCTGATTGCTTTAACATTTCTTAATAACTGACCACTTCACTCAATGCATTCAAAGCACCACTGTAATTTTGAAATATGTAATTTATGAATTTTCTGTTGTAAAATATTTCTCCTTGTTGTTTGTCTTGTAAATTCATTTTTTTAATATGTTCCTCTTGTGCCTGAATAAATAGAAAACCTCAAGGAGCATCTACTATCAATGAACCCTTCCACTACATTAACTCTGTCGGTTAAACCGAAAAAATCGTTCTTGAACTGCTCTATCCAGCTTGTTTCTTGCCCCGAGACCAATCTTTCTTTTCAACCTCGCTTCACAGCAAAGCATGGTTGTAACAAGAATTGCATGTATCCGTCAATCCTAATGTTGGTGTTTGTGACAATTCCACTCGATACTTCCTACACTAAATGAACTTGAGTAAAATATAAAACTTTATGAATCGAAGTCATTAGCATTTGAAAGATAAAATAATCAAGATCTCCATTTACCTCACTTAAATATATCAATTCCTAAATGAGTAATCAAAGCACAGAAAGCGCTGACTTTGTTTGGTTCTCAGAATGTCAGAAAGGTGATGGATGTGAGATTATAAAACAATTGTTTTTGTATAATGTCAATAATACTGTTTCCAGTGTTATAACTGTAGTAAATTGTCTATAAGGCTAATTGCAACACTGCTATTCAATTCAATTTATTTGGCTTAAACAATTTAAAAAACCACAGACACAACATGAGTTGCATTTACTGGAATTTGAACCCCAGAGCTCTCCATTTCTAAACGAGAGTGTAACCCCTGGACCACAGCGAAGATATAAGTAACAGCCTGAACAAAACCACATTATTCTAAATTAGAGTTTGTAATCTTTATTAATTTCAAGATATTTTGCTCACGGTAGACCTGTTGTTTAACACTAAATTAATGTAAATAATCATGGAGCTTATTATAAGCATGTATATCTGTGAAGTGATTTAGCAAAAAGTAGAAAGTCTAATTTATATTTAGGCGATCACAATAATCTGAAGCTTTACGGACAAGTCGAGCAATTTTCATTGATTAAAATGATATTCATCCGAAAAACAAAATTATTTGAATATATTACCGGTAATTTGCGGAAATGTTAAAGAATAACACAGTATTAGAAATCTTCGAACAAAAGGGAACTATTTTTTCTTCCCTTAGAAGGTTTGAAATTAAATGCGCCTGTCATTTGACAATCTTTACGCAGTGATCTCCCCTTAGTTTTTCGGCGTGAGTGTACTTATAAAGGGATTTAACCGCTTCGAGGAGTTCGTGACGGAATACTTGCAGATTTTGTAAATAAGCATATCAGGGTCTGAAATTTCGCTACCATTATTTGTTTGGTCTGACGACACAAATAAAAATCAAACACGTAGAATAGTTGTATAGAGGGTCTATAGCAGATGAACCGGTAAAGTGGTAATATCTTAACAGAATGTAATATTTTTCATTTGAAAATCATAATTATGTCAGACCCACTATCTTTCACTTTTTGTATCCTTTTTTTCTCATACACTCTTTGGAAGGCTTCTATTGAACTTTGTTTAATGTAAGACATATCGGTACCCTCTTTGCATTTTAAATTCATAAACACTTTATTTTCGGTTTCTTAGCGGCACGGGTTACCTCTTTGCTATTATTTTTTTTCTTGTCACAGGTACCCTCTCTCTCTCATTTTGTTTAAAGCACCGGTCCCCTTTTAAGCATTGTTTTGAAAAAGTAATATAATTTTACTCTATAATCATAAATCGATTGTGTATGTTGAAGTTATTTAAAAAACGGACATATTCCTTAAAAACATTCTAGTGTTCCGCGGTATACTTCTTTTTACTCCACATACCACATTTTATCAGAAGAGAAAGATTTACAAGATTGTGTATCTCGCCTACTTGTTTTCAAGTGTCCGGTGCCTTTAAAATAGAAAATGGATAATTAAATCATTGACGAACGTACGTATTGCGTTGCCCTTACGTTCTGCTAAATAATTTATATTCCGTATTATTAGCTTTGAATTTATAAAAGTTGTTATGAAATATATTTCGTATTTTATTAAGTAAATGTAAACATTTTATTAATGTCAAATATATTATAAATATTGAAACAATGTATCATGTGAGATACTGTGCAAAAAAATATAACATTTGATATATTATTTTGTCACTAATCAGTAGACACACACCGTACAATCAAATAATAATCATTCTTAAAAATTATTTAAATTTTTATGTTTTAAATAAATCATTTTATATGGCAGACATCTCGGGTTACACAGCCATTTACTGCATGGGACATGTCTACTATATGCCATTATTTATAATAACACTTGATGGATGCCTTTATTTATAATACAGTGTATTCGTATTAAACGTTAAATTTGCCTTTACTTTCTTTGAATTTTATATTTCATAAACATATTAAATGTTGTCGTTTACGAATCGCATGAAAAAAGGATTTATTATCTTGAGATTATATAATATAAGATATATTATATTATTATATTATATATAAAAATTATATATGATAAGTTTTTGTGACTTTAAACTAAAAATACCGCATTTCATCGAATAGTGTGGTTATTTTCAGTCAAAATTGACGTGAAGTAAAGCTTGCACAGGGCCAAAAATTTGTTAGCATGCTCCTTTGGGTGTTATCTATGAATCCATAACATTGATTTACTCGAACACAGTTTGGATCTGTTAAAAATAGATGAAAACTTACCGTACGTCAATTGTATTCCCCGCGCCGACATGTATATACTGGTACAGCTGTCGACGCTGGAACAGCTGTCTGCCCATTTGATTGTACGGTGTGAGACAGATAAACCCATTACAACTGTATTTACATTATATCTCTAAAGATATGCGAAATCATTGCCTATGTTATGCAGATTTCTGCAAGAGGGCCAACTGTTGTGATGTGTGCATTTTAATGACTTGCGTATACTAACCCTTTTTGCTTTGTTTATTTTACACGTTAGATCAAATTGTTTTGACTTATTATAAGACATTGTTTTGTTCGGTTTTACGTGGCACCAACACATTATGGGTCGCATGGCGACTTTCCAGCTTTACTGGTGGAGGAAGACCTCAGGCGAACATCAGTCCATTATTTAAGGCACAAACGGGCACTTGACTATTACAACAAAATATTTATTTACCAAGTGCAAATTCCAATTGGAAAAAATGGATTTATGATAAGTGTCACGCTTACAAAAACATTGGCACACTGAATCTAGCAAAATAATAAAGTGTCCTTTTAAAAGGAAAAGCCTGCCCAGTTGTGCCATCATGCCATCCCTTTAAAACTGTTTTTTTTAAACCAACTAAATCAACTCTTTATGATGAATAAATAATTATAAAAAGAGATAATAATTAATTGAAACAAGTAAAAAAAACAAGGTTCCTATAATTTTACAGGTATATAGGGTCAATTTATTAGCACTATTTTTTATTATTATTATTTGTATATCATAAAGGGTTTATTTAGGATTTTTTTTTCGAAAAAAAAAAAAGGTTTCACTTTTAAAGGGGTAGGTAGGGTAACCCCCAAGACTAGACGAGCACCTGTGCCCATTTGTGCCACCAGTGTTATGCATGCAAATTTGGACATAAGAAGGACCAGAAATCCACTGATTATAACTGAACCGGAACATGCTGACGATAACAGTAACAACTTTATTTTTGTAAAAACGAATATTTTTTGTCTAAAACGATTTGAAATCTATTCTCTATTGTATAAAACTAATAAAGAAAATAATAAGAAAATAAACATTTATCACTTTTTTCGCAGAGAGAGTCATTCGTTTTGACAGTTGCTAATTTCATTTAAATAGCAGCTTTATAGACAAGTAAATGCACTAAAAGACTTCGTTACGTGATACCAATTAATATACATGTATCAACTATATTACACCTTAAATATCTTTGTCACTTGTCTATTGATCACAGATATACCGACAACACAGGATGCGCTATCTGTAGATCAGCACGTGGTCAGGTTAATGATATGCATGGGCTATTTTTAGATTACCGATCACCAAGACTTTATACTGTAGTTTTTAACTGCACGTTAGAATTGCGTTTACATATAAGACACAGTAGATCTAAATATAACTCGATCGCAGACAAAGGTGAAAGAGCTATGCAATTTTAACTTGTTCGCACTAATTCTCTGTGTGATTTGGTCAGGATCTTTTGGTAAGTAGGGCGGAATACTTCTACGGTAGCCATTCTCTATTGTATTTAACTAATAAAGACAAAAATCAATCATTAAAGAAACAAACTTTTGCGTCTTGAAAACGAATTGAAACGGAACATTTTCGTTTATAATTTATTTCTTCCTTCTACTTACGCTTTAAACCGATAAATCAAGTAAAAATAGAAATCCCATTTATAGAAACAAACTGGGATTACCGAAGTAACTAAAAATAGCTTAGATTTCCGATTTATTACTTCGTCTTATTTAGCAGTATGACGGAATCGCCCGAATTGTCACGATTGCAGCGGAAACCTAGACTGGTTTCCCGTTCCATCATGCACTGATACATTTTAGCAGGAAACCACCTAACCGGAACAAATTTGTCAAAAAAATGGCTTGTGGCCGCAAGCCAAAAAGTTAATACTGAGATAGGGTAGAGACATGTTTCTTTTTATAACCTGATCATCGTATTTTAAAAGCTATCTTATATTTATAACTCTGATAAGAACGTAAGGACAATTATGTTTTAAAAATACCTGTAAATGTAACACTATAACTTATTATGAATGCCATACATATTGATGTAGGCAGACCTAAGATTTCCTTAAAAAAAATGTTCAGTATTTCCGGTACAAAAGGGCATCTGAGTCGTTTCTCCAGCGGTGTATAAAGTCCTTGGCGAGATTTGAACCCACATAGGTGAGGGGCAGGTTTTTAAGTTGTTTGAAGTGAACAACTTTAACCACTCTGCCATATCCCATGATATGAACAGCGCATATCACTTTTTCCACTAGTCTTCTAAAAAGGGATGTTTAATTCTATTTTGTTGGCATGCGTCTTATGAAAACATAATACTTAAACAAAATTATGTTTTCTCAATCGAGACTTAGTGCTTATTTGTTGCGTAGAATACTTCAATAAATACTTATCTCAATTTCATCGATTCAAAACATAAAGTTTTTCTATAAGTGTATTGATTTTAAAATCGATTTGATCCAATATTTGAATATATACATCAGATCTAATATTTGTATTAAATATTCTAGTGTTAAAATGTTATTCTGTTTTTAACAGAGTTGAACAATTATTAAACGTCAGGACATACATAAATTTATCAAAGAATATAGAATTTGACTTTTGATTTCATCGGTCGTATACAATTGTCTGATAAATGTTCCTATATATATGCATATTTTTTGTTTCACTGTGTATAAGATGGGTATCATCACTTAGTGTATAGTTTTCATGTTCATCTTATGAGTGCATTGTATAAGAATA